AACTATGCCTCGCTTAACATACGTCACGCACTCCGTTGCTCTTATTGGTTGTAGGTCTATCCAATTGAGTGTAGAGGCATTTTTTTTCCTGGTTCGTTCGAAACACGCCCCATAATCACAGCTCTATGGAGCAGCATCAGACTCATTCTGACTAGAATTGAGTAGGACTACGTCAGGCTAAGGATTCTTATCCTTCCATTGAAGTAATATGCGTCTTCGGGCTACCAGAGATGCGAAAGCAATAGCGTTACTTTCCCTGTTCGTGAAGTGTGTGAAATCCTCAAGCACAGCAAAGATGGAGGTCAGAGGACTCTGAAGCCCTGGTTTGTTTAGAGCTTTTGTGAAAGTATTGTAGAAAGAGGACCAGAATGAGCTTAATGTGGAACAGGAAAAGAACATGTGTGTATGATTAACAAAACATTTTTATCTAAAAAAAAATAAAGAGGGAAAATGGCTACCTCTGCACCACCGCTCTGGCAGAAAGAGCTGTGGAGCTAATCATTGCCATATCTGTAGTTGAGGCAGTCACAGACGTGGAATGACGAAAACCTAAACAACTTGGATACAAAAATAACTGATCAATATCTTTTGCTGCACATATACAGCACTCGCTTTTTTATCTTTAAATTTTATTTTGAAAGCTTGGAAAAATATTGCAATATATAGTGATATTACATATCGCAATGATATTATATTGTAACCCAAGTATCGCAATACTCTTGCCAATACTCACCCCTACTGACTGCACAGATGATGTTTTCAGGTGGACTTTCTCACTTAAAAACACATTCACACTACTTTTTACCCACTTATTACAGCAAATATAGCTGCCATTGTTACAGGCAAAGCTCCGCCCATCAGGCGCACTTTTAGACCGCACAGCTAGAGCAGCATAGATGCTTCAGCCGCGCATCAGAACTAAAGTTGTACAAGCATCAAGAATGAAGCAGCACGCAGGTTTTGCTGTCTGAACGTAGCATAAGATTCCATCATTAGAAGTTAATTTATGTAGAATTAGGGAAATTCAAGTTAAATCAACATATAAACACAAGCCAATTGAATGTGATTAAACAGATTTTCCTACCTTATTAGACAAACATTCATTTAGAGAATAGTAAAAGCTTCTTGTTTATGAAGGGGTTTGATGTTTCAGAACACGAAGAGGCTGAAGGTTGCTGATGCTGCAGTGGACAGCATGAAGCAGCAGATGCTGGAGCTGTGTCGCTCTGACACTCTGTCCAGAACGCGGGAGCAGCACGACAGAGACCTGGCCACCATGAAGGAGCAGCACCAGGCTGCACTGCTGGCTCTGGAGCAGAAGCTCGACTCTACCTCACAGGCTTTCAATGACCAAGCAAGTAGTTTTAATGAAACGTGCTCATCAGAACTATTGCGAAACATATCATTTTGAAAGTTAGAATGAAGGTTTTGATCATCTACTCTGTTCTTTTGTTTTCTGTTTCTAGATTGATGTCAGTAAGAAGCTTCAACAGCAAGTCAAGCAGCTGGAACGTCAGAGAGAAGAAGAGCAGCTGGAGAGAGCCAGGATCGTTAATTCTCTCACCCAGCGCCTGGAGGAGAGTCAGCAGCAATGTGCCAAGCTGCTGCAGACAAGTCAGTAAAGTATCCAGTGCTGAGGCTATACTGCTGTGAAAAACATCTCTACAGATTTCTTTCTTTTTTGGCTTTTTATCTCATCAGGCATTTCAAATCAAAATTAACCTGATTGCATAAAAAAGGCCCCAAAAAAAGTTCCCATATGATTTTAACTATTAGGGCTTTAAAGGAAAATTCTGTGTTTACACCTTAAAGCTTTTAGCTTTTTCCTGAAAAGAGATCAAACTCTTTAAATAACACTTCATAACTTATTTGTATTAAATAACCGGGAGACAACAGATTTTGATATAAATTGTAATCTTGCTCAGAACAGAGAAGTTGCTTTTAGTTACAGAATGCAGCTGCTTACCAACCGGGCTCGCATCTGTTGGAGTGGCCATTATTCACAGTTAGAGAAGCATTTTATCCAGTCCAGTCTGCCACATCATCACATTATTACATCATTACATGTTAGCAGATGAGGAGACATTAGGGGTGTCACATCCAATCACATCCATCATGGCGATTCGGTTCAGTATCGATTTCCTGACCCAACGATTCGATTATTTTTTTTAGAAATAACAGCAAATAACAGAAAATACTGCAGAAAATCAGTGCAATGAGTGCAATGCAATACCTCGGCTCCAGACGTTCCCGCCCCCTCCACAGACGCTCCGCTGCTCCTCTCCCAAATTGTAGCTGACCGCAGACAGGAGGCCGGCTTGGTTTGTTTTTATGACCGAAATTGCGGAAAACAACTCGTGAAGTTTGACCCGCTAGAAGAGCGAGGTGCGTGAGAATTCAATATTCAATATTGAGCATAATTTAAAAATATCTGTGTCAGGCTCACTAGAACACACTGCTGTAAGAGTATAACCAGGAAGCGAGGTAGGAGGGCAAAATAGGTTTAGCGCCACCGCAGCACGGGAGGGAGAATTACGCCCAGGAGCAAATGGTTAAAAATAGACCGGAGGAAAAAAAAAAA